TGATGATGAGGCTTGTCCTCCATCATGTTCTGAAGTCACCGCCGCCATCGATGAGTTTCCTCTAGATGCACCGCTACTCGCATCTACTTCGAATTCACCATGAAACTTCCACACGGTGTAATCCTTGATGAAACCAAACAGAGCAAGTGAGATTGCACCACGTCATCTTCCTGGCCAAGCTTATTCTAGCAGTGATTACATGGACATTTGATGTGCATCCGCTTCAAACTCAGACGATGCTTTTTCGTAGTAGCAACAAACTTTTTCACCTGAACCAGGTAAACCGGTGTAACCCTTTTTCACCTGAACTAGGTAAACCAGTGTAACCCTCGATGTTCGGTACATCCATTCTTCCCTGTCCATGCCCACGAACCTTGCACACATAGCAAAAAAGGCATATAAGCAGAGTAGTATGAAACAAATACAGCCAGGCAAGCTCTAGATCTATTTTTCTCTCTCCTCCATGTAGATCTAGATCTAGATCTAGAGAAAAACCACCCAAATGATGAAAAAGAGAGAAAATAAGGATTGGAGAGCGTGTAGCAACCTCTTGTGATGCCCTCCTTCAATAAATTCAAGGGCAAAACTTCTCCCCCTAAGGAATGTTCACTTTTAGGGATTTTGGAGCTCAAAACCCGCAAAAATGGAGAAGACGTGAGGAAGAAGGGTGGGTGCGGCTGCATTTATAGCCCAGGATTAATCGAGGCGAGCAGCAACCGCCTCGGTTAATTGTATGTTAACTAAGGCGGTTGCCTTGTACCAACTGCCTCGGTTAATATATTAACCAAAGCGGTTGTGTTATGGCAACCGCCTCGGTTAATAGACATTAACTGAGGCGGTTATGTTAGGTTGCCCACCTCCACTATTCAATAACCGAGGCGGTTGCTAGGCCAGCTGCCCAGCCAACGAATAACGAATGCGGGCAACCAGCCCAACCGCCTCGGAGCCCAAAAGCCAAACGCCTTGTAAATGTTTTTGTGTAGTAGTGGCAAAAGTTATGACTGTTTTAAGAAATCCACTCAAATCAGGGTTTTATGTGGACAAAAGATGTGGATTTTTGGTGGTGATGGCTAGGGTTGATGGAAAACAGTGGGAGATCACACAAACTACAGTCAAACACGATCTAAACCAGCAACAAGACCTTGACCTAGGAGACAAATTCAACATGGCAGAGTCTGAAACTGGATTATGCAAAGGCTATAGTGCGGATGGTTCTAGGATAGGAAACAAATATGGCGGTGGACTCTAGGATGAAGGCAAAACACTCAAGCTAGAGGATAAATGTGAACTTGAAGGTATACCTAGAGCTTTGATTACCACTTGATGGGGATGGGGATCCCGATCTTCCGTTGGTCAAGATAACTATCGATTTGGTCGTAGCGCGACACACCGATCCGGCATCAGATCACAAAGATCCAAACCCTGCAATCTTAGCACAACGTCTCCCCTGGTTATCAACCATGTCACAATCCAGTTGACCTCACCAAGAAGGCTAATCTCTACTGCGAATCGAAGAACACAAGCAAGAACAAGATAACATGCAACTCAAGTATAGTGACAATTGCAGATATATGGTTAAGATCTTGAATGTGGGGTTTCACAGACCGATAACAACGACTATTCAATGATAGATTGATCTAAAGCAAAACCCCAAACCCTAATGATGGCATAGCGACTGATTATAAGATCTAAGGGTTGTCGCTCCCCCCGGATGTGCCACCCCCTAATAGGCTCAAAGACGATACATGGCCCAACGGACCAAAGACGGTGACACAACACCCTGACAGATTTTGGATGCTGATTTGTTTCGACAATTCCCGTTTAGTTCTGCGAAATTTTGACCTAAAACCAAAGCCATTGGTTACCTTATGAAACTATCTTTCGATTCATATGTGGATTGTCAAAAACAGAGTCCAGAGGCATCCTAGGCGTCTATTTTACTGTAGTTTGGTCCTGAAGGCCAAGGTAGACTCGAACTCGAGATGGACTAGGCCTCTAGCTTAGCTTGGACGCCCTTGCTAGCCTCATAAGGTGGTGGACAAGGAGGAGGACGTCCAAGGTCTTCCTTGGTGTGTTCTCCATCTCCTTGGGGCGTGCTTCCACTTTGGCTAGGGTCCCAAGGATAAATAACAAGTCCATGACGACAACATATCTCCTGGCAGAAACAGCGATAGAATGTCTTCATGATTTGGAGGCCTTGCCTTTGTGACATTGTGGTGGGACCAAATCTATTTGAAATCTTATCAAATAAGCTTTCCATCAAGAGCTCATTGACCACAATAGTACTTCGGATGAATGAGTTATGTTCTTCCCAGTGAAGCACTGTTAGGCTGTCGACGGACCGAATGTTGTAATTTGATGAGCTTGCACATTGAGATTGGTCTTGTTCATGGAATATCCATTCTCTATCATCATTGCCATTGTTCCTAAGAACATTTGACATACCAATATTAGGTACCAACCAATATGTCCTCATCAATAAGAAGATGACAGTTACTACAAGGGCTATGACCTTCTACGACGTTATGTTTTTGTCGTTGAATCTCAAAATTACATCGTGTTTCACAATTTACGACACATGCGCGACAAAATGCATTTGTCGCCTATTCTCCGTAGCTAAAGGTGTTCTGCGACGAAATGGATATTCTCGTTGTAATTCTTGCGACATTCATACTTGCGTCGTTAGTTTACGACGCTCGATTTTCATCGTTATCAAGTAGAGAAAACACACTACACCATGACACACATTTGCCTGCACTTATCGGTTGGTAAAAGGCGTGTTTCGGCTACACTTTATGTGTTGGCAATTCTATGAGTTTTTAACGTCAATTCATCTATCGGTAAAATGACTATAGGACAACAAGTTATCGGTCGGCGTTTCCCTGCTGACATAAAAACTGTCGGTGAAACTTTTCTAGACTTAATAAGTGTCGGCGTAGTGTTCGCCAAAAGTACAATGTGCGTCTAAAAATATCATCTCACCCAAAGAAGACCTGATCAGGAGCGAAATATCTGAGTCGCGCGCTAAAAACGTCGCTACCTGAAAACCTTCCCACCTGCCTGGTTCCTCTTCAACGCCCCTCAATCAAATCCCAGAAAGAAGAAAAAAAACACACCTGCTGCCCCAAGCTCCCGCTGCTCCTGACCCTGCTATCCCCACCGTCCGCCGCGCCAAAGCACCGCCCCCCACACCGTCCGCTGCTAGGGCTGCTTGCCGGGGCCATACCCTAAGCGGAGCTCGCCTATGCGACTGCCTGCACTAGATCTGGTGGCGCCTCCCTCACCCTCGCCGCGTCGTGACTGAGCTCGTTGGACGTGGGATGCCACAACCAATGATGCACCAACATGTCACCGCCGCCAGAGCTTCATGCGTGGCTTCCTGCGCCAGATCTAGCCGAACCTCTATCAACCCAGAGGAGAAGGCCCCGCCGCTGCCTAACTGGCAACTGTACGAATGTCCGATGGCCTTCTCTGGAGTCAATGAGGTAGGGGAGAGGGGCGCGAGGGGGCCGGCGGTGGGTGTGACTCGTTGGCCCGTTCGCCCGTGTCACCCCCTTGAGGTGAGGACGATGTGGGTGGCAGTCCCAGACCTCAGTCCATGCTTTCTTCTTCGATTGATGTATCCCTTGCTCTTTTTTCTGAGATTGTCTCTGAGCCACATATGAGTGTCCATGAGCATGTAGCCGTTTGATTTGGGGTCCTCCTGATGCCATTTGTGCGGCCGCGCGTATCGTGATGCTGTGCATGCCATGTGTTTGCTTCGTTGCCTCACCCACTGGGCCATTACAGTGTAGTGCATTCCTCTTTGGTTATGTTTGTTGTTTTGGTGCATCCCAGTGCTTATGCTTAGTTTTGATAGCAGTGCAGGAGGCTACAATAGTGAAATGGGCACACAAAGGAGGAAGGGTTCTGCTTGAAAGGTAGATTAATGCCTCTTTTATTCTTGCTGCTATAGTGTATTTGCATCTTGATGTTTTGTCCAACATTCAGTTCCACCTCTGCTCCCCATTCTAAATTTCTGATGCACCTACAACTTCTCCTATAGTTAATAATAACTATGGTGCTCATGTTTTTAAGTGCTTATCATTCTGAATAGGTGCCTTATTTTTTCATAAGAGCATCTTTGTTGGGATCATAACTCATGGACCCGCTCTTTCATAGTTGCCATACAGATACAAGCATGTGCGGATACATCAAATAGCAACTTCTGTATATTTCCTAAGGTTATAAACGTGGCTGCATGAAGTGTATTCAAGTAACTTCAATTCCTTGTAGAATCGGCGCTGACTAAAAACTGCTCGAGAAGCAGGCTTAACCCATTAACATGTATGTTATTTATATATGTAACTAGTTGTTCTGTGCAATTGCCAATTCTTGTTTTTCTTTTCCAATTAACCATTGACAACCAGGCTTTAGAAATCAGGACATGTGCAAACTGATTCATTTTGGAGTTGTTAGACTTTGTTGGCTCATATAAGCCCTTTTTTCTGGAATACTTAGACTAGATTCTCATGGGTTTGGAATTTTCAATTTTAGGAACAACGGAAGGAGCACTGGGTTTTCTTCTTAGGACTAGGTCTCTGTCTCGTATTAGCTTTCATCTTAGCTTTTAGTTCAAGTGGAATGTCTAAGTCCACTAAGAAATTATAGCTATAGTCTTCATGTATGCAACAGAACAGGTAATGGCCATAGTCATGTCTATACATGTTTGTAACTGACTAATCTATTGATCTCTTAGCTCATCGGTGTTGGGTTCTATGAACTTGGTCAAAGTCAGAGAAGTTAAACTTATGGCAAAACTAAAATCTCCTAAATTTGGGAACGGAGGGTGTATATACTACCATGCTGCTTATAGTTTAGGTATTGGGAGCCAGGAGTAGTTGATTTGTGAGTATGTTTCCAACTACCAAATCCTGGTGGCACCCTTACACACATGCGGGTCAATTTAGTGGTAAAGAATGTTCCCTTGTATGTGTTTAGTTTTCTGATTAGGGGCATGCATGGATTGGTGAGTTTGATGTGCATGTGTAGTGGCGAATGTGTGTTTGCATCTTTAATTGCCAAGAAAAAGTTTGCTATTTGGGTTAACACTAATAACGAATAAAGGGGGTGAAATGGACTTCAGTTCACCTGACTCCATAGTGGAATGGGTCATCCATTTTCTTTCTTCCTTGAGATTTGCAAGCTGAATCACCGGTTCAATTTTTTATGACAGGAATTCTCTTTTGAATGAACAATATGTTGTTATCATTCCTGAAGCTATTTTCTCGCTGTGTGCTGGTTTTTCATCATCAGCAATTAATTCATCGGATGTATTGCAACAATTTGGTGATTGTAAAATTTATTCCAAGGTATATTGTTAGTTCGTCATCACAAGATTTTACAGATTACAGTCGAGTATTTCTAAACTTGTATTTGTTCACTTAGTGCCAATTTGATTTGTTTTAGATGTCTCTTGAGGACGATAACTGGGTTCTCAAAGATGAACTACCCTACTATGTGGAAGCTTTATCAGAAATCACTCTGGATACTCGTACCAAGGTGCTTCACTTATTGTTCTCAGTTGCTCTGCTATTAGCACTTGTGAATGTTAAAAAAAACTTTGCCTGGCAGTATAATCTTCTATATTTTCCTTGTCTCTCCTTTGTATGGTCTCTTGTGAATGTGAAAAAATACTTGTACCTGAGGTTAAAAAATACTGCTATTAGCTCTTGTGAATGTTAAAAAATACTTGTACCTGAGGTTGAAGCATTTTTTGACAACTAGGTCTTTCATGTTGTAACTAGAATATCCTTCATCACTGAAATGATATAAAGCCCTCCCAAACGTTGATGTAAAAGAAAGCATGCTTTGAGCAGCGTGCCTTTTTTTCTTCCCTTTTTTGCTGTACATGGTAAGAGCTGGACTATGGTACACTTAGGCACCACCTCCTCCACACAAAAGCTCATCAAACCTGGAACTCACCATGACACTAACTAATGTACAATTTCCACTTTAGCATGGAAATAGTTTTTTTATAAGAGAGTTTCCTTTGGTTTTATAGAAAGCAACTGGAAGCAGTTTAATAAAAAAAGACTTTATCGAACTTTTCAGTGTGCCTATTAGTGTCATACTGTCATTTGTTGCAAGCACCAGCATAGTGGTTGATTCCATCTGGAATGCTTGGTATTTTGAATGGTCCAATAAAGTTTACCGGTGGTTAAATCCATAGTTTGTTGTCTTAGTAAGTCAGACTTTGGTGGTCCTAGAGATTATTCTTGAAATGTAATTTTTGTTTGACTTCTTCTACTGATAAAGTCACAGAAGATGCTTTATTGGTTACAGGTTATGTCTCATAAAGGCCACCGTATACATCTTCCTGGGACTATCCAGCAACCAATGCTCCTCGAGCTCATGGAATTCATCAAAGGATTTGTGGTCTCTTAGCTTTAGTCATAACCAATTAATACAAGACTTCTAAGTATGTCTATACATGTCCGTAACTGACTAATCTATATCTTGGACCTATATGGCTCTATGTACTATGATCATCACTTGACCTGATATATATATATATCAAGTTGGTGTATGTATGGAAGATCTAATATATTATTTATACAAAAATCAAGTGAATTTGTTTAATGTGATGCCTTCTATATGAGCAAAAGTGGATTTGTCAAATTATTTTAATTGTAATTATATCTATGCAGTTTTGCCGACAGTTTTTTTGGACAGGGTATGGTTTGTAAAATACCTTGGAAATGGTTTGGCCAACATACAAACTGTCAGCAAAGGTCTTAACTGTCGGCGTAGGTCTTAACTGTCGGTAAAGGGTTAACTGTCGACAAAGGTTTCAACTGTCGGCGTAGGTAGACCGTTTCCCTACACATAAAGTGTCAGGGATTCTATTAACTGTCGGCAAAAGTTTCGCCCACGGCTTCTAGCGCGACTGTTTCTAAACTGTCGGCAAAACTTTTCGTGGGAGGTTATTTGTCGGCAAAGGTGCCCTTTGCCTACAATAGAAAGTGTCGGCAAAAGTATGTTGTGTTATAGTGACATCGCAAAAAATGACCACAGATGATTATGCAAGTGCCACGTAGGATAAAAAGCCATCATGAAATACTGTTGTCATATGTGATACTGACGTGGCACATTGCTACCCATAATACACATGAAGTCCATTGAACAATATACAAACTATTGCAGCATATTGAAGATGACAATGAATTGAACCATCAAACAAATTTAAAATTCTCACATTCATTACATCATTTGGCAAATCTGATCCATTCAAAGTTACATGTTCAAATAATTTTGACATGTCAAACTTCAACCCAAAATACATGAACCTCAAGTCCAAGTCACTACGAGATCCTAGGCAGCAAAGTCAGCAGCCACATATCCAAGCCATTACTAAATAAACAATGACATCCAAACCATTAACAGGTCCAAGCCATGTACCAAAATAAACAGCCACATATCCAAGCCATGTTGAGGCCATGCATCATGATCAGTAGGATAAAAGGAAAAGGTAAGGAGTGACCTAGTCCTTGTTCAACGTGAACAACTGACGAAGAAGAGCATTTGTTTCATCTAGTTGTTTCTTCAAATTTCCAATCTCTTCTGTCTGCTTCTCCCTTGCTTCCTCTGATTCCTCAACCTTTTTCTTCAACGCTTCCAACTCATCCTGCTGGCCATGAAGTTGATCTCTAAGTGCTGCAGCACCTTGCTTCTCGGCCGCAACTTCAACCTCCAGCTCTTGTACACGTGCAGCAGCAGTAGCGCTCCTCTTGGGGACTGCTGTCTCAAGGCCAACATTTTGAAGAAATTTACTTGATGGCACAACATGAGCAAAAACTTCAGCAGGAGTCTTTGGTTGTCCCCTTCTGGTTTAGGCTGAGCATCATGGTATCCATTTGACCCTAACATGAGAAGAAAAATAGTTTGCATTAGTATACAAGTGTAGGTACTGTAATATATGCTGCTGCTGCTGCAAACTGTAGCATGAAACAACTGTTCTATATGCATAATTAAACTTTTGATAAAGAACCTGTAGCATGAAAAGACTGTTCTGTATGCATAATTAGTCGAAAAGTAGCATGTCCACTTTACACTATGGTAACATCATGTCGTATTAAAATTCTATGATTCACTTAAAGGTGCAGAAATAAAATAGTATTAATTTGTTCTCTCCCAGTGCCCACAAGCAACAGATGGGTCTTCTTTTGGCAGCCTTGCAGAAATAAAATAACAAGCACATAACCAACGAGGAGAAGCCATGTGGTATTGCAGGACCACACTAAGCATGTACGGTAAGTTATTAGACTGGAACTTAAAAGATAGCTAAAGGTTGAGCTGAGTCTGCTAACCAGCGTGGAACTCAGATTAGATTACAGAGATAAACTATACTATTCTTGGCTTACAACGGTTCAGTTGTGTGAACCTGCTTTGGTTCTTTTGCCCTTTTGAGTACTATTGCATGTTCATTTTAATTACTCTGCTGGACAGGCTCTAGTATCAATGGATTGGCATCTTCTGCAAAGTGCCTTTAGAAAATTATAATGCTGCTAGTAAAAGTATTCAAGGTGTAGTGTTGGTATACCATTATGACTTAAGTAGAATCTTTGTTGGACATCATCTAGAAAGCAAAACTTTAATATATGCTGCTGCTGCTGCTGCAAACTGTAGGTTGCTGCTACAAAATTGCAGCAAACTTTGCACAAATTATTGGTACTTTAATATAAGCTCTGCTGCTGAAAACTGTTGGTTGCTGCTACTACACAGCTAGAGTAAGAAATGAAACAACAAAACTAGCTTCAGGTCTAAAACAATCCATTTAGAACATGTACTTACAATCGCTTCCTTCATGGGCTCATTAAAACCAGTCTTGCTGCTGCAGTCTAATTCCTTGAAAAGATCGATTGCCGTGGGCGGCACATCTTTATATTTGTTTTGCTTCTGAAATAACACGCAAAAAATTTGTAAATGTTAGCTTAGAATCTAGAAAATAGCTCAACGCAGAATAAACATACACACACTATTTTGTATCTTACCAGGACATGGGTGTGCGCAATTGTTGGGATGCTCTTCCCAACGATGGTTGGGGGCCTTCGGCTTAGGCCGAAGGCATGGTTAGCAATGTGACAAATAGAGTTCTGGGCACATTCAGGACTAGGGTTTCATAACATTTATTCCTCTCTCCCCCTTTACATGGGGTTCTCTCTTCCCCTTTTATAGGTCTCTATTCTTAGTGGAATCTTTTTACTTCTATGCCCTTTGATAGTACGCGCATATTCCTAGGATACACCCGTACATAGGCAAGCCTCTGGGGGCATCCTGGGTCTTCTCCTTCGTCAACCGCCTTGCCTCATAGGCCTCATCTTGCACCCAATGGAGGCCCATCTGTTGTCCAAGAAGCGCATATGATGGTAGCTTCCTCATTGGGTGCCTCCGCTGATGGAGCCTTCACGATGGTCCTTGCGCCTTCACCTGTCCTGAGGGCATAGGCGAAGGCTCCTGCAAAGTTCTTGCAGTAGTCCATGTATCAGACTAGGCATTAGTCCTTGCGTCCAGCCTTTGCGACCCATGCATTCGTGTCCCAACAGTGGCCTCGCACGGTTGGCCAGGCATATCCGAAGGCCTTGATGTGACTCCAGCTCTAGACATCAATAATCAAAACAGGCTGTATTCTGTTATGTTGTATCAGATGCATGGTGAGGGGAATGTAGAAAAAGGGCTGCCTTCGCGACTAGGATATCTGTGTCCCAACAGTTCCGCCCTGAGGGTCTAGTTTGGCGTAGGCGGGCCGTGGACCTCACATCTTCGTGGATATCTAGTCGCAAAGGCTCCTCCATCTCTCACCCTCCTAAGGCGCATTGTGCCAGACCCTGAAGTTGTTTTGTGGCCTTCTCTGATTGGTTGCGAGGGCTCTGGAACCGATGCATCGATGAACGGACATGACCATTGGCAATGGAAGTCGAGGTGCCCGTCTCGGTGCTATATAAGGGGGTGGTTGGTGAAGGTCCCCTCCCCACTTGTGTCCTTTGCTGTCGCTTTCCCTGCTATTGCTTTCTTTTTGTGTTCGCTTAGTTGTAGTGTGCACAGCCTTCGGAAGTGGCTTCATATGCTAGTCGGCCATCTCGCTGGCCTTCATTTAGCGGGCCATATTCTCGCTTGCTAGGTGCTAGGGCCGACAAATGGTCTAAGTATTTTGAGAAGTGTATGGTTGCTAGTGTGAAGGCTCGTGAAGCCAAAGAAGATCTCGACAGTGTTGAAGCTTCTATCGGCGATTTGGTGAAGGGAGAAGAGGTGGAGACTAGGATGAAGAAGTCGTGGGATATTGGGCCTTCGCTCATGACTGAGGAAATGATCAAAGAATAGGAGGTCGAGGGTTGCTTCCCTAATGGCAAAGGGAGGCCTCTGGGTAGAGAGATGGTACCTAAGCCTAGGGTTAATGAGGTCATTATTTTTAAGGACTTCTTCGCCTACGGTCTTCGATTTCTAGCCGTCAGATTTCTCCGAGAGGTGCTAGAGTGCTTCAAGGTACAACTTCATCATCTTACGCCCAATGGCATTCACACTTAGTAAGTTCTACTGGGCGTGCGAGTCATATGGCTCAGCGCCAAATTTGGATACATTCTATGAATACTATGAGCTCCAGCGGCAGTCGAAGATCACCGTGGGCAAGGAACATTTAGAAGCTCAATATGGCAGTTGCGCCTTCATGGCGAAGAGGGCGCAGAAGGAAGAAAAATTGGAGATTTCCTTCACTCAGAAAAATAAGTGGGATAAGGTTTGTACGTAGTATTGGTTCTACGTGATGACCTCCGGTGTAAGCACTATGGATACAGAAGGAAACAAGGCCGTTCATTACCCACTAGCCTCTACTATGACAGAGATGAGGCCTTCTACATGGGTAACACCTGGTTTAGATTTCACACGGGAGGCTTGTGATAGAGCCTTCACATTGGCCTGCCATTACTCTGGAGGCCATGACCTTGTGGAGGAGATGGTGGCGGCCAAGTTCTAGCCCCTAAGCAAAAATAGGCCTGAGATGAAGTTAGAAAAGGTTGCCAGCCTTTGCTAACGAGGAAGGGGTGTACTTTCCGCATTTCAGAATACAACATGATGCTAAAGGGAGCAAAGATGATTTTGGTGCTCATGTGGAGGCTACTACCTCTGAGATACTTGGCAAAATCTCAGATCGCAAGTATCTCGCCCGGACAGCAATCGCAAGCGACATGCCTCGCCTCAACCAGGTCTTAATTCTCCATAAGGTTCCTTTGAAGGTCTTAAACTCTATTGAAGAGAAGGCTAGGAAGGCTACAGCAAAAAACACGATTGCCCGTGAGGAGTTAAAGAAGAGGAAATCTGCAGGTGCTATGAAGACACTCAGCAAAAGACAGAAGGTAGCAGCTGTTTCTAAAGTTGCATCTGCCAGTTCTGCTAAAGAAGAGGTGGAGGATTCAGATGCTGGGGTGGCTACTCCGCAAGTGGGGGCGGAGGCTAGGGAGACTGAGGCCTCTGCCACTAGTGAAGATGTTGACTTGATGGGTTCTGCCCCTAGGGGCAGAGTGGTAGTGGTGCTGCCGATGCTCCTGACGTGGAGCCTATGCCTTCCATCTTCGGCCCTGGCGCAGGTGCGTCCAGCTCTGAAGACGAAGCTGCTGACGCAGGCAAAGCTGTTGCGTCTGACAAGAATGAATCTTTGTCTTCGAGGCGTGTGCAGTCTTCAAAGGCTTCTCTTCTTAAGGAGTCTGAAATAGAGCCGGAGGACCGGGCGCGGCATGTGGAGCCTCCACGTCTGGGGGACACTAAAATTGTGGATGTCTCTTAGGGCATTGTGAGTTTGGGTATGATTTTGTTATCCTCTGTTTCTTTCACAGATTTCTCTTTTGTTCTTTTTTTATGACGGTCCTTGTTGCGTAGGTGCGAACATTGTTGAAAACCCTTCTAGCATGGCTCACTTGGTTCTTGAGGCCGTTATTGGTGATCAGCCCTCCACGGCCAATCATGGCCTTTCTTTTGTTGGTTTGGGTGATTTGGCTGACGCAATGGGGCATCGTGAGCGCGGTGGGTCTTTGGTGCCTCCGCAGGCCAGCGGCGATGGTTAGTTGTTTTGAGTGATCATTAGATGTGTTTTGCTCTCTTCATCGTTCTTTGATTATTATCGTGAGTTTGGTTTTTCCAGTCACTTCTTCTAACAATCTAAATGGGTGGGCGGAGGCTGTTAGCCAACTTTACAATGCTCTAAGAGGTTGTTTATACCTTCTCTGTCTTCCGCACTTTTTTTGTCTTACCCTGCTTATGATTTGGTTTTCTGTAGATCGTGCTCGTTGTCACTTCAAAGGTGTTGATTTCTACCAGCTGTGGCGGCTTAACCTTGAGCAACAATGTGTGGTATGTAATGCATGGTCTTCGCTTTACTTTTGTTTGTCACTTGTTGCTTTAGGGTATTCTTCTACAGATTCATCATATGGCGGAGGCACTGGAGGAGCTTGGTTATCAAGTGGAATGAGGCCATTAAAGGTTTTGAAAAAGATTTAGATAGTTTGGAGGTTGAGAAGAAACAGCTCAAGGTGAAAATTGAAGGTCTTTGAGCGGCCATGAAGGGTTTCAACGAGATGAAAGCTAAGGATAACTCTTTGGAGAAGGACTTGGCTAGGTTGGAGGTTGCTAAAATGCTGGCCTTGGAGAGGGCTCAGAAAGCCAACGATATTGCTGAAGGCCACCGCAGGTGGTGGAGGTGGATGCGGAGAAGACATCAAGCACGGCACGGCTCGCGGAGGTTGAGTTGCTAAAAAAGCAACTCGATGAGGTGAGGTCATTGGGCCTTGCCACCTTGGAAGCGTACACCTCCATGCTAGCTGGCTTTGGGGGAGTCACACCACCCCTCCCGACTGATGTTACCCCTGCAAAGATCTTCTCGTGGATGAGCTCCAACTTCTCCAAACTTCCCAACTTTGTCGGCATCGTTGGGGATCTTGCTATGCTTTCTAGCGTGACCAACCTTGCCAAGACTCTATCGAAGGCCGAGTGTGAACATGTTGCTGAGCTGAGGCATAAAGAGGAGTATGAGAGCCCAGTGGAGCTTGGTGAGGTGCCGAAGGCTATCTCTATAGGGATTTTCCACTTCATTAATTATTTCTGGTGCAAATTTGGGCGGCAAGACGTTCGTCACCTGGCAGAGGCTCGTCGGGCTGAGGTTTTTCTTCTTTAATTAGCATCTTGTTTGTTATTACTTGTATTTTTCTAGTTCTGACTTGGCACGTTGTGCGTAGGATTTGAAGGCTGCGGAGAGTGTCCATGCGACACAAGATGTCAGCTCTCAGAAGTCTGGGAAGGGAGCTACCGAGGAGGCCAAGAATTCTAAGGAGAGTACTACGGAGGTGCAGAAGCCGAAGGATCCTACCATAGATACCTAGAAGCTGGAGGAACCTGATCCTGCTCGGGCCCCTCTGGACCTAGGCCTAGCTAGATCTTTTAGCAGTGGTGCAAATGTTAGGCTTTTGCACCTAGCCTGGTGTTGTAAAGAGAAAGTTAGTTTTTATAATGCCTTCATCTTTTGGAATTAATATAAACTTGTCCTGCATAGGTTGCCTTCCGATGGCCTATGTAGGATGTGTCTCCTCTAGTAATGATGAGATATGGTGTTTATGTTTCTGGGGAACTTTGGAATTATTGGCATGCTACTTTTCTGCAGCCTTCGATTGATGATATGTGGGACTTTGTGTTGTATGATATAGATGACGAGCATAGCGAGTTTGTTGGGTCACTTGCTTGGCGGGGGCCTCGCTCCCCCGCGTAGGACTTTAGTTTTTTGTTTAGGTCTTTCTTGAGGGTCTTCGGGCCGTGTACACCTATTTTAC